AGGATGGTCCAGTGGATAGGGCACTGGCCTAGGACTTGAGACCTGGGTTCAGTTCCCTGCTCTGCCACAGGCTTCCTGGGTGACCTTTGGGCTGGTCGCTATGTCTCTCTGTGCCTCAGTTCCCCATCTGTACAGTGGAGATAACAGCACTGCCCTGCCTCACAGGAGGGTTGGGAGGGAAATGCGTTAGATTGTGAGGCACCTGGTACTGCGGTGATGGAGGCCATATAAATACATTACATAGAGACAGTTATAGCACTATAAAGGTGCTTTATACCAGTGCAGCTGTTTCCATCCAGGAAGAGAAATAAGCTACACTGGTATAAAGGCACCTTTGTATCAATATAACTGCATCCACACCAGGGCTTGTACTGGTAGAATTATATTGGTAATCACACGCACCCCAACTGACACTGTTATATCAGCATAAAACCTGTGTGTAGAATAGGCCTTGGACTCAGGCACTTAGGGGCCACTTTGAAAACAGGACTTCAGGTGCTTCTAAGTGACTTGCCCAGGGTCATACTGGGAGTCTGTGGCAGAGTAGGAACTTGAACCTGGGTCTCCTGAGGCCAGAACTACACTAAGGGCTGCTGCTGGCACAGTTCTGTTGGTCAGGGGTGTGAAGAGGTGCAAGCCACAGCCACAGAGCTGTGCTGGCAAATAGGGCTTAACCAGAACTGTTGTTTCATGGGTGGGAGGGGGACTGGAATAAGCTAGATAGACTGATGAAAGTGCAACTCTGTTGGTATAAGCTGGGTCCACACAAGGAGTGCTTTGCTGGCTAGAGCTCTAAACACTGGGACATCCCTAGATAGAAACCGCCTCTACTGAACTGACCCTTCAAAATCATGGTGACTGGATTCACAGCCTTACTTCAGACTTCCTCAAAATGTGGCCTGAAACTCCTCCACCTCAGCCAGGAATCCTGAATCACAATGGCCCTCAGAATTTGCATTACAGCAATGCCTCAGCGCCTGCACAAATACAACAGAGTCAACATGGCTTTTGTAAAGGAAAATCATGCCTCACCAATCTATTAGAATTCTTGGGATCAACAAGCATGTGGACACGGGTGATCCAGTGGATATAGTGTACTTGGACTTTCAGAAAGCCTTTGACAAGGTCTGTCACCAAAACTCTTAAGCAAAGTAAACAGTCATGGGATAAGAGGGAAGGTCCTCTCCTGGATCAGTAATTGGTTAAAAGACAGGAAACGAAGGGTAGGAATAAATGGTCAATTTTCACAATGGAGAGAGATAGCCGTGTCCCCCAGGGATCTGTACTGGGACAAGTCTTATTCAACATTTTCATAGATGATCTGGAAAAAGGGGTAAACGGTGAGGTGGCAAAATTTGCAGATGATACAAAATTACTCAACATAGTTAAGTCTAAAGCAGACTGCAAAGAGTTACAAAGGGATCTCAGGAAACTGACTGGGCAACAAAATGGCAGATGAAATTCAATGTTGATAAATGCAAAGTAATACCACATTGGAAAACATAATCCCAACTATACATACAAAATGATGGGGTCTAAATTAGCTGTTACCACTCAAGAAAGAGATCTTGGAGTCATTGTGAATAGTTCTCTGAAAATATCTGCTCAATGTGCAGCAGCAATCAAAAAAGCTAACAGAATGTTAAGAACCATTAGGAAAGGAATGCCGCTATATAAATCCATGGTACGCCCACACCTTGAATACTGTGTGCAGCTCTGGTCGCCCCATCTTAAAAAAGATATATAGGAATTGGAAAAGGTAGAGAGAGAGGCCAAAATGATTGTGGGGACGAAACCACTTCAATTTGAGGAGAGATTAAAAAGACTGGTACTGTTCAGCTTGGAAAAGAGACAGCTAGAGGGGAATATGATAGAGGTGTATAAAATCATGAATGATTGGAGAAAGTAAATAAGGAAGTGTTATTTACCCCTTCCCATAACACAAGAACCAGGGGTCACCACATGAAATTAATGGGCAGCAAATTAAAAACAAACAAAAGGAAGTACTACTTCACACAATGCACCGTCCATCAGTGGAACACTATTACCAGTGGATGTTGTGAAGGCCAAAACCATAACAGGATTCAAAAAAGAATTAGGTAAGTTCATGCAGGACAGGTCCATTGATCGCTATTAGCCAAGATGGTCGGGGATGCAACCCCACACACTGGGTGTCCTAAGCCTCTAACTACCAGAAGCTGGAAGTGGACAACGGGATGGATCAGTCGATGATTCCCCTGTTCTGTTCATTCCCTCTGAAGCACCTGGCATTGGCCACTGTCGGAAGACAGGATACTGGGCTAGGTAGGCCATTGGTCTGACCCAGTATGGCCGTTCTTATGTTATGTTCAACACAGTCCAGGCAGTCCCTACCCGAGAGAGCTCATTATCAGAATAGACAAAGGATGGGAGGGTGAACTGAGGCACAGAGCAGATGGGAGTAGTACATCAGGTCAGTGGCAGAGCCAGGAATAGAAAACCTAGTGTCTTCAGTTTCCATCCAGTTCCCCATAGCTGCTATAACCCAGCCATGTTTCTGACTCTGTGTGAGCGTATTAGGGCGCGGGGAGGTCATGTCTGAACTCATAGCAGTGCATGTGCCTAATCCTCCGTGAGGCTGGTTTCTAGTGAAGGGGCGAGGGGGAGGGGGAGAGCCTGGTACTGTGTGGCTGCAATTCCAGTGTCAGGGAAACCTTTGGCTTCTGGAGGCTTTACTGGAAGACACTTCATTGTGTAACCCCAAAACATGCTCATTGCTCTGGGAAGTGCTAGCCAGGCTGCCTGGGTCTGAGCTGGTAGCTCCCAGACTGCGTCAGAAAGAGCCTGTGGAAGTGTCAGGCTTTGCCACTCCCCTCCTGAGTTGCCTAGCAGGGATCCTATTGCCATGAATGTGGAGAGGAAATGATCTCTCAGGGGAGCCCTGTAATTGATTTACAGAGAGCAAGGGCAGCTGTGCCAGGCACTGCACCTGCCTGACCTCCAAAGGGTTAAGTTAACTTTTGGCACAGGTGGGCCTTTAACTTTAGCTTTCTTGGCAGCTTCCTCTGATCTCTTCCTCCTTTGCACTTATGTTACATGAGTGCCTGGCTGGACACCCGCAGTAAGGGAACAGGTGTGGCTGTTAGCTTGGGGCGTGGATAGGAGCAGTGCTGGACTTGAACCTCTTCTCCCCATTCATCTCCCCAGCTCTGCCTTTTCTATTTTCCCTGGAAACACGTAGGATGCAATTTAATGATTCCTGTGTCTAGATTGTGCAGGGTGGGAGTCAGAGCCAGAGATGTAACCCAGGCCCTCCTCATTAGAGTGGAGGACTGGGAGTCAGGACTCCTGGGTTCTATACCCAGCTCTGGGAGGGAAGCGGGGCTGACTGGGTTAGAGGGAGGAGAGCTGGAAGTCCAGACTCCTGGGTTCTGTTCCTAGCTCAGTCACTATCCTGCTGTGCGACCTTGGGCAAATCACATCTTTTCTGCCTCAGTTCCCCTTTGTAAAGTGGAGATAACGTTCATACCAACTCTGAGACAGGTGCTGGAGCTGAAATTTCACACACCATGCTGGTATTGCACAGATGTATTTGTCCCTCGGGATCCCCAACCTGCAAAATGGAAATACCCGGGTGGGGGGAAGGGGGGCTCTGAGGCTTAATGGAGGCAGAAGCTATTACTGGATCATTTGTCTAGGAGGGTAGTGGCAGAATCCACCCCACCGAGATACACACTTGATATCTTTAGCCACTGATCTGTGGTGAGTCTTACATGTGCTGGGTTAAGCTGTCCCCTCCCCTGGCGTCAGGAAGGAAGATAGCCCACTGCGGGTTGGGTTTGCTTTTCCTTCCTGGGTAGAGCATTACCCAGGAATCCACACTCAGCATTGTGCATTACAGGTATGGGGCTGGTGCCAGGATCTCCATCGTAAAGAGTTTGCGGCGATGCAGAGCTCTTAAAGCTGGAAGGGCCTGTTAGATTAACTGATCTGACCTCCTGTATAACACAGACCAGAGAATCCCTCCCATTCGCCCAGGACTGAGCCCTCCTCAAATAACAAAGCAGTGTGGGTGGTGGGACTCTGCTTCCCTCATTAGGGGATGGAGGACTGCACTTGGGGGTTTGCAGGGTTGTTCTACCTAGTGGAGGGGTGTCCCTGCCCCATCTGTGTCCCATGACTGCAGGAGAATGCTGCTCTTTCCATCTGGCTCCTGCTCCTCCACAAAGCAGTGTGAAATGCTTTCTAGCAAGAGGCTACATAGAGGGCATACAGCAGCCCCAGCCCCAGCCAAATCCTAGGTGGGCTCTAGTGGCAATGAAATCTGTTGATCCCTTTCCTCTCGGGCAAGTGTGGGCTGGACCTGCGCTCCAGGCGTGTTGAGGCTACTGCCAGCCAACCAGATTGACTGGTGTGTTTGCCGTGGTCTCTGTGTGCAGGTGGGTGAGGGGTTAGTAGCATGTCGTTCCTCATGATCCCTGGTGACCTTGCATTTGGGCTTGGCTTTCACCCCCTCCTATGCTGAATCCCATAGTGCATCCCTTTTAAAAGGGCCTGAATGAATTTGGGGCCACTTCCTAGTTAACACATGCTGGGGCAAGGGTCTTCCCATCTCATGCACTGCCTGGTTCCCAGTAGAGATCAGGAAGGGAGTCCCCTTTTGCATCATGGCATAGCCTGACATGTGCATGGAGTGGAGACGAGGCCAGTGGAATTGGGGCTCAAACCCAGTGAGGCTGGGCAATGGTGGCTGATCCCCACCCCTGCAGTGAAGAAGGGGCTGGGCAACGCTTGCTGGAGCTTAGGCAGGGCCCAAAAAGGTTTAACCCGTCTCCTGAGGGCTCTATCCCGCCAGTCAGGGTGAGAAGCTGAATACCAGAGTGGGCCCCGCAGAGCACGCCAGGGTGGGGACACCGAGCCTCAGTTCGGCACTGGGGCTGAGCACAAGGGGATGGTGGGGGGAAGGGCATGACCCTCTGGTGGCTTTCCCTAGCCTAAGTTGTTTGTGTTTGTCTCCACAGCCGGCGCTGGGCCACACAGAGTCCAAGGCCAGCAGCAAATCCAACATGCTGCGGGGCCGCAACTCTGCCACCTCCACCGATGAGCAGCCGCACATTGGGAACTACCGCTTGCTCAAGACCATCGGCAAGGGCAACTTCGCCAAGGTCAAGTTGGCGCGCCACGTCCTGACGGGGAAAGAGGTGAGATCTGTCAGGTAGGGAGGAGTGGGAGCAGCACCTAAATGGAAAGGGTGTGAGGCCAAGCCCACAGGCTGGGATGCAGGATAGAGGCCAGGGCAGATGTTCCCAGGCCAGGGCGGCGTTGCCGGGGGAGGGGGATGTGCTTTGCGATGATGGAGTGTCCATGTGACAATCTCTCTAAGGCTTGGTCCCCTCTGTTGACTATTTTGTTATGACCCCAAGCCTAGTGGCTAGAGCCAAGGGGAATCTCAGCATCTGGCCTTGTTACTGTGTGACCCTGGGCAAGTCCCTTCCATCTCTGCTTCCATTTCCTTCTTTGTAAAAGCCCCAGGGGCCTTTCTCCAGGGTCTGATGTGCTGCCGCGCAGAGTCTGTGCCACATCCGGGGGGGGGTTGCCCCCTCTGGCAAATGGGTAAGCTGAAGTACCAGGGGAGGCAGAACCTGGGTCTCCTGACTCACCGGTATGTCTACACTGCAGTTAAAAACCCGCAGCTGGCCCATGCAGGGCTCAGGCTAAGGGGCTGTTTAATTGCGGTGTAGACGTTCAGACTCAGGCTGTAGTCTGGGCTCTCTGTGGGATGGGAGGGTCCCAGAGGTCAGAGCCCGAACATCTACACTGCATTTAATCAGCTTATTAGCCCAAGCTAAGTCAGCTGGCACAGGCCAGCCAAGGGTGGCTAACTGCAGTGTAGACGTGCCCTCTCAGCCCTGCACTTGAGCCACCATGTTGTGCTCCCTCCTGCTTGGAGCACTTTGCAAGTCTGTGAGGCCTCCAACCCAGAACAAGCGTGTGCACTCGGAAATGCCAAGTACCGTTCGTTGCCAAGCTACCAGGCGCCCAGCCCAGGCTCCCACTCCCCGGAGCAGATGGCAACAGATGCACCTCAGCACGTGGCTCTGCTGCAGCCGCTTGGGCCGTTACAGAGGCAGCCCTGAATCCTAACCAGGGGCCAGGCAGGTTTATCCCACTGCCTTAAAGCCTTGTGTGCTTGTAGGAATGTGCTAGAATCCTGCTCTGCTCCGAAGGGCTGCAGGAGGGTGGAAGAACCCAGCCTTGTGTCTGCTTGGCTTTCCCATCCCGCCCCTCTAGGACAGGCCCTGCAGGCTGCACTGCTGAAGGGGCTGTCCAGCCTCGGGAAGGGCCCTGGGGGCAGAGTGGGGCAAACAAACTGGAGAGTGATCCAGACGGCTCTTGGCTCCTTGAGAGGCTGGGGCCCCGCCCCCGAGAGCAGCTCAGCCAGGCAGCGCTCCACACCAGGAGCCAGGGCAGGTGCCATTGTTTCCTCTTCTTTGGGGAGGTGTGTGGGTGTTCATTGGTTGGGCACACGTGTATTTTTCACAGGAACAGAGCAGGCCCCGTCCCACCATGTTTTTCCCAGGATAGGGAGCGAACAGAACCCAGCAGCTCATGGGTGGTTCTGCTTCCCCCCCTGCCCCTCATACAGCAGCTCTGCTTGGCTGCCCCTCTTCAGGATGGCGGGAAGAGGAAAGGGCAGCCAGTCAGATGGGGGCATTTTCCTCTTCAGACTCCCAGGAGGATGTGAAATACCAGAGTGGTGGATCAGCTGGATTCAGTTTCCCATGGGCTCAGGGCGTTGGGTGAGCGTCCTACCCCGCCCCCCAGCTCTGTAGGCTGTAAATAAGCCTTGGCGGCAGTGTGGAAATACCGGTTTGTTCACAGGGCCCTGGTGTTTGCACAGGCTGAAGAAGCCGGTTATCTCCAGCCTGAAGCCTGCGCCTGTTTCCCAACAGCTCTTGTAGCGTTGTCACTGCTGAGGCTGCCCTTGGAGGGCATCTGTGTTTGCAGCCTGCCCCTGCCTATGCTGCAGCCCAGAGCACTGGGTTTGGCGCTCAGTTAACACCAGCCTAGCTTACCTGCCCCTTCCAGCTACCAGAGTAGGGTCTGTGTGAGGGGCACTAAGGGGCTTCCACTAGGGGGAGGGGGAATAGTTCCTGGAGGGGGGACTGCAGGAAGAGGAGGGGTTTTCTCATTCTGATTGATGGGCCCAAGTGCAAGCGTGGAAGCCAGGAAGGCGTGCTCCCCTGGCTCTGAAGAGCCCTCCCTCTGTCCTACTTCAGCACATGCTGCCTCCCAGCATTAACCCCTGTCCAGACTGGTGGGAGGGATTGATCCAGGTCAGCACTGCAGGTCAGTGCTGTGAGACCTAGCTGGAATCCCCCTTATGAGCCACATCCATCCCTGGGAGTCAGCGCAGGATCGTCCCCAATGCCTTGTCTAAGTGTCCTGACCCACGGGGCTCCCACTACGTCCCCTGGGAGAGTATCACAGCCCAACAGATCTGGCTTCCAGCAGGTTTTAGCCTCTTCTTTGGTCTGTTTTAACCCCCTCACATCTGACCCATCATTTGACCCTCTCTCCCTTTGCCATAATGCCCTTCAACACCCGTGCTCAAACAACTGTTGCCCCTGTCCAGCCCTGGCTTAGCCTGTTGGCTCTCCACCTAACCCCTCCAGCCCTTTCAGTGTCTCCACTGAACTCTGGTCTCGGGGAAGAGTTAAAGGGGCCTGGCAGGGCTGCGGGCTGTGGTGCTGCTAGGCTAGCTGGGTTTTTACAGCTGCACTGAGGCTCTGCTATTGTGTGTGTCCCTGGCTGTGAGGGGGGTGGGGAGAGGAGGCAGCAAGCTATTCCTCCCTGCTTTGCACGCAGCAGAGGGTTTAGGATCCAAGGGAGGATGAAGTGTTGGGGTAGGTTTGCTGGAGGAAAAGGGGGATTGCATTACCCTGGGGGTCCTGGTTGGCTGAAGTGGTAGCTGGCTGTCCCTTCGCTGGATCATAGTTCAATGGGGCTCAGGGAGCTATAGCTCCCTTTTGGGAGACTTGTATTTTCCCGACATGCTGGCTTGCAGTGGAGCTGCTGTAGTCAGTGGCTCGCACTGGCCAGCTCGTAGCCAGTGGTGTGTTTGCTGTAAAGACTTTAGAAGCCATAGGGCTTAGTGCCCATGAGGAAGTGTTTGAACAACATCTGTCCTCTGCCAAGGCCCAGGACTCCAGATTAGCATCATGACCGAGGGTGATACCTGCTGAAACTCTTCCACGTGTCTTGCCTTTCCTGGTCCTGCTGGGTCTTGGGGGTGGTGGTGGGGGTTCTGTCTCAGTGCTTATGTATGCACCAGGTTGCCTTAGAGTGATCTAGCTTCAGCCGTTTCTAAATGGGTCTAAGGCTCCACGCAGGGGATGAGTGCAAGTTGGGGAGTGTGTACGTGGACAAAGCCTTGGCAGGAGTGACCGGTGGGGCAACAAGGGCCTGTCAAGCAGTGAGAGCCAAGCTTGGGTACCTGAGGGAAGGTGGAAATACCTTCCTCACCATCCTCACTGAGTGCCATCCCCCTGTTGTGGGTTACTGGCCCAAGCCGGCTAATCCCAGCCCAGCTCGCTAGCCTCTTTGGAGCCCTCTGCCGCACGCTGCTCGCGGAACCTGCTGCTGTGCTAGCTCTCTGCCACCTGTGAGATTAGCCAGCAAGTCTGGGCTCTTCATTTGGCTCTCTCAAAAGGATCCAAGTTGAACACCTTTCACTGCAGGTTCCCTGTCCGACTCCAGGAACCTGCCACGTGTTTCAGTGTGACACAGTCACTGCTTCGCACCCGATTGGTTCAAGTCCTCGAGACAGGATGAAGAACCGCCCCCACAGTCGGTCTGACACACACTGGCCTATAATCTTGAGTTTTCCCAAGGCTGTAAATTGCCCGCTGGCCTGCTGCCAACCCTGTGCTGGGCCCGCTGGGGAGCTCGGCGGAACAGAGACGCATTGTCGTTAACCGGGGCGGCAGAGGCAGCAGCGAACAGCCAGCCTGAGGATTGTCGGGGCCTCCATCCTTGTTTGCACCTGCCTAGGATTCTCCCTCAGGCATGTTCTGCTCCAGCTTGCCCAACACTATGGGAGAGATAACTGAGCTCCTCTCTCTCCCCATCCAGGTGGCTGTGAAAATCATTGACAAGACGCAGCTCAACTCATCAAGCCTGCAGAAGGTAAGGGTCCTGCCTCTGCTATGTTCAGACTGTGGGCATAGCTCCCTGACAGCAGGAGGTGCTCTAAGTACTGCCTCCCCCCTAGCACCCCCTTCACTGTCATGGTGTTGCTCTGAATTAAACAGAGTAAATTCTCTGCCCAGCTGCTCGTGCTGTGTTCTGAGCCCTGCACTGTCCAACCACCTGCCTGCATGGGGGATTGGGAGCGTGGGGGTCCCTGGGATAGCACAACCAAGTTCCAAGGGTTCAGTTTGCCAGCATAACTGGCAGGGTGTGTTGTGCTTCTGCTCTAACTATTGGACTTGGGAGCTAGTGCTCCTGGGTTCTGTCCCCAGCTCTGGGACGGGAGTGGGGTCTAGTGGGTTACAGGGGGGTGGCTGGGAGCCAGGACTCCTGGGTTTTACTCCCAGCTCCGACCTGCTCTGCCTAAGTAGAATGGGAGAGACTACATGTTGCCTACCTTCGTGAAGTACTGGCTGAGTGACACCACTGAGCTGTGCCCCATGAGGTCAAAGCTAAGCAATGGGGCACCCAATGCTCCATCCTGCTGAGGGCTGGAGGTCAGTCAGCCTTGCCATGGCGCCAGGGGGGTCATGATGTGTCATTAATGGGGTCCCTAGAGTGGTGTGGGGGGGTGTGAATGTCCATGGGCACAGAATGTCCCGCCCCGGGAGCTTGACCCTGTGCCCGTTTTCTCCCCCCCCCCCTCCCAAAGGAATACAGCTCTGCTTGTGGGAAGTGAGTGGGGCAGGGAGCCTATGCTAGCGGATCCCTTCAGTGTGCTCTGGGGTGTGACTGCTCCTCTTGCCTGCTTGGCAGATAACCCCCAGCTCCTGCAGGAGTCAGGCTCCAAATGGCCAAGGCTGTCGCCAATCCTCCACCCGCATGGGTCACCAGAAGGCCATGCGGGAGGTGGAGCACTCTGTGCCCAGACTACTCCGTGTCCTGTTTGACTCAGAGCCTGACACCAGCAGCCCTGCATGGCTTGGCAGCCGCTGATGCAGCCTTGTCAACAGAGCCTGAGCAAAGCGGCTGAGCTGGCAGCCGCTGCAGCTTTCAGGGCATGTGAACACCCAGGGAGGGACTGGCGTGGGGCCTGAACCATGAGGCCTCTTCTATCCCATTTCCCCCCATGTCAGGATGCATCTCCTGGAGCCACCTTACCTCAGTGACCCCCACTACCCCCTGGTGTGTCCCTCCCCACCGAGATGTAGGTCTCCCTTATCTTCATCAGGCCTTCATTCCACTTCCCAGCACCACCTCTGGTTATACCAAGCCCCCTGCCGTGGGCTGGGTCCCGCTGGAGTGGAGAATGTGGAGCCCCTCGCTGGATGGGCCCTGTTGCCAGAGGAATGCCAGCCCTAGGTACAGCGGAGGCTTTCCCCAGCCAGGCTTGAATAAAGGGAGCTGGGAGACGTGTGCTCAGGAGCTTTCCAGCCACCCCCCAGCCTCCTGCCATGTGAGACCAGGCATGTGGCCCAGGTGAGCTGTGTGCTGCCCCATAATGCACCTGGCCAGCTATGGAGGAGTGATCCCTGCCATCTCCTGCCCCTATGAACGTTGGTCCCCGGATTCTCCAGCCCAAGGCATAAGCATGTGGCGCCTACCCCCAGGAAGCCAGAGCACCCTGCAGAGGAATCCCTCCCCCCCATTCTAAAGCCAGCCATAGCAACCGTCGCATCCCTGGCAACCAGCACAGAGCTGCGCCCACCTCCAGAATCAGCCTCTCCAGCTCGTAGGCTCTGGGCTCTGCTTTGGGCACATCCTGGGGAGGGGGTGTCTTGTGGGTGAGGGTGAGCTCAGCCCTAGGCCTCCTGCATGGGTGCCAGCGCTTCGTTTAACCCCTCCCTGCCCAGTGTGCTTCCAAGTCGCAAGGCAGTTTGGTGCACTGGGCCCGACCCCAGCCCTGTTGGGGTGGAGCTGAGGCTGGAGGGGGTGCTGGAGCTCTCTTTCCTGGCATCCCTGGCAACCAGGCCAGCTGCTCACTGCCTTATTGTTTACTATGGTGTCCTGTAGGGGACTCTGGTAGGTCAGAGTCCTACTGCGCCAGGCACCGTACAAACTCATGATGGACACAGTCCCTGCCCCAGAGAGGTTATAGTCTAAGCACAAAGCCTCATGCCTGACCCTGGGGAGCAGCTGTGTGTTGAGAAGTGGCTTATGGGATGTGCAGAGGGGAGCTCTCCTATGGGAAGGGCATTGTGGCATAGTGGGTAACGCATTGGGCTTCTGGTGCAGTATCAGGGCATGCACCTATGCCTTTTGGTGCCCTGACTGCTTTTCTCTGGAGCTCTGAAGAGAGACGTGCCTTGTCCAGGCTCGCGAGCCAGCACAGAAGGGATGCCCTCGCTGACTAGTCCCGATGAGGTTTGCACCATTTCATCCACTTAGAGTCTCCACATTGGCTGGTGGAGGCATCCCTGTGGCCATGAGTGGAGAGCGGCGCTGATCCCCTCCTGTTTCTCTCTGCGCTGTTTAGCCCAAGCTATCCCTAAATCCTTGGCTGTACCCCAACCCCAGATGGAGGTGGGGATGACAGATGGTTGCTGGAGGAAAAGCCTTTTGCTTTAAAGCCTCAATAGAGCCCCTTCCAAGAGCAGGACGTTAGGGAATAATGCCTACAAAGAGGCTTGCTGCTGTCTTAGACTGCAGCTCAGTGGGTGACCAAGATCTAGTGAGCACTGGCTCACCTGTGGCCCAGATTAGCTGGGAGTGAGCACAGCTCTCTGGGGAGCGGGGAGCAGTGTGTTCTAGATCACCTGTGTCCCGGGCTATCCAGGAGCGAGCGCAGATCTCTGGGAGCAGTGTGTTCT